GCTTTATTATTTTTTCTATGATGGTTGTAAATGATGATTATTTAACCCCATTATTCTATTTTTATCAGCATTTTACTCTAAGGGAGAGCTTTCCTTTTTCATTTATACATGTATATATTGGTCATCAGTATAGACTCCAGGATTCTTTTTGTTTGTGATAGATAATCCATTACTGTCCTTATTTTTATTTTGGTGTCCAAATTGTCCCAGGTTTGGCTAATAGTTGCTTCACAAAATTAACTTCTAATGTCCCTTTTGACATTATCCCATTGCTTTTGTTTTGTTTTGGTTTTCTGGACAGTCGTAATCCATATTTAAGAAACGAACACTGCCTTAGTTGTTTCTAAGTAGTCCTTAAGGGGGTCCCAAGTAGACTGGAAAAGTGAAAGTTGGAAGAAAGACGTACCTTTTTACTGTGTTCATACAGCAGAGATTAATGGGTTCTAACAATAGGCAAACTCTCAAAACTGTAATGGGTGGAGTATTTGATTTTATAACTGTCTATTAGATTAAGATTAAAAATTAACTTGTTAACTTTTACCGGAGTCACTAGATGAAATTGGGAAAAAATAAACCAAGTGATTGTTGTACGAGTGTTCCAGCCACATTTTAATGATTGCACATTAGATCTCTGAGACAATAAAAAGATGACTTATAAATGTATGCATCTGAATAGGGTGCCATCGCTTTGGGATGATTGGTCTGATAGCCATTACGCTGGGCCACTTGTAAATCCTAGTGGAAGAAGAGGGGAGTCCTTTCTCTAGAGTCATTCAATTTTTTGAGCGGGCATTGAAGTAGACGCCTAAGCCTTCTAGACACCTCTGTGTTGGAGAATAGGCTGTGGTCTATTTTGTTCCATATAGACATATTTAAATTAGTTCTCACAAAAATTGTAAAGGGGGATTTTTTTCATTATTGTATGAGGAAGAAACAGTTACACAGAGACATTAAGTCCCCTGCTTTTTGTTCCTTGTTTTCTCTGAATTACTCCCATACTTCTACTGTGCTTTGGACCCCCAAAAGGCTCATGAGGGTTCTGCCGTATAGATAAGCTTCTGCTTCCCTCTCTGCACTTTTCCAGACTGTTCTCCTTCCTCTTCATGGCTTCATTAGCAACCACTCCTTCCACTTTTATGCTACAGAAATCTGTTGAAATCTCATGTCCACTCGGCATTGCTTTTCTTCTCTTATAGGCTTAGTTTCTATTTTTTTTTTTTTTTTTTTTTTTTACTCATTTTCTCTCATTTTAATACGATGGAAGGTGATAAATATATGTGTTCGATCTTACATCTTTAACAAGAAGCCAGGAGTTGACCATAAAAATTTTTTGCCAAAGTGAGTTAAAACATCCTTTCTTCTGTGTACTGTCCAAGTGATATCTTATGTCACAAATCATGTTAATAAGATGGTAGCCCATCATTTATATTTATTTTGGTCTTGGCTTAAAACCTATTCCTAAAATTATGTTAGCATGAATTGAAATAATTTTAGAGTTCAGAATATTAAAATTAAGCTATTTAATACCAAAAGACCTTTTTTTGGAAGGAAAAACATCAATGATGCATAATAACTCTACATGATACATGCCTAACAAGAAAAAAATAAAGCTTAGAATAGTCAAATAAATGCCTAGGGTCTTGTGAGTAATCATCAGTGGAATGAGGGTTTAAACTCAAGTCTGTTCAGCTTCAGAGTCCACGACACTGTTCCCTCCATGACTTGCATCACAATGTCTGCCATGGATATCATGTCCTTTTGAGAGTTTTATCACTTTTCTGACAGTCCCACCCACATTCCACATCCCTAAGGAATATTGAGAGTGGGGTTGGAACACTATAGACACCCTTTCCTTTCCCCAAAGGATAAACTTATGATATTAATCTTCCTCAAGTGGTTTATTGTACTATGTTCTTGCCCAGTATCAACAACTGCTTTAAAGAGAAAATGAAGTCTCAAGGGGCTAATTTGCACTATTATTTAACAGTAGGAGGATAGAAAATGCAGTTTTCTTTGTCTGAATGATTGTATAGATTGTGTACATGAGCCAGGACTTCCACACCTTCCCCATCAATTTTTTTTTTTTTTTTTAAAGAACCAACTGCTGGTTTTACCTCTTTCTACCTGCCGGATGCTTTCTGCATCACATTCAGCGCTCAATTTAAGTGATTCCCACTAAAGTCCGGAGCCTAGGGAAATCACCGTGAATCTGCGTTCCCTAGCAACATCCCTGAGAGCAACAACAGCTGCTTAACCATATGCCACTAGAAAGATGCTGTAGGGGAAATACTAAGTAATTGATATTAAATGCCTTAAATCTTGAGACTCCAAATACCATAGTTACCATGTTTGATTATTAACTTTTAGTGGTGCTACAGCAAAAGAGAAGAATAAGTGTAAGTATCTAAAATGACAAGAATAAGTGTAAGTATCTAAAAATGACAACAGATAGGATAGATGAGCTTAGCAATCAAGGCGATTTTTAGATATTTTCTTGTTAAGATAAACACAGAAATAGCCACGGTGAAAACAAAATACCTTTCTTTATGATTGTATGTCTTAAAATGTTAAATTTGTATCAGAATTAAATTGCACATGTTGTAATATATGGCATATTTAAACATTAAGCAAACTTAAAACTCCTTACAAATTTTTGTTGATAGTCTATTTTTTCTTAGTTTTATTATTCTCACTGTTGTTTCGTCTTTTCTAGAATGCCGTATAGTTAAAGTCACATTATGTAGCCTTTCAGATGGACTTCTTTCTCTTAGTAATACGCATTTAAGTTTCCTGAATGTCTTTTTATGGCTTAATAGCTTATTTATTTTTAGTGCTAAATATTCCATTGTATGCATATACCACCATTTATCCCTTCACCCACTGAAGGACATCCTGGTTGCTTACAAGTTTTGGTAATTATGGCTAAAGCTGCCATGAACATTCATGTGCAGGTTTTTGTGTGGATATAAGTTTTAAGCTTATTTGGGTAAAAACCAAGGAGCATGAATGCAAGATCATATGGCAAAAACATGTTTAGTTTTGTAAGAAACTGCCAAACTGTCTTCCAAAACGACCGTGCCATTTTGCATTCCCACATCCTTGCCAGTATTTGGTGTTGTCAGTGTTTTGGACTTCAACCATTCTAATAGTAATATCTCATCGTTGTTTTGATTTGTAATTGCCTAATATCATGTGATGTTGAGCATCTTTTTTTTCATATGAGTGTTTGCTATCTGTGTATCTTTTTTGGTGAGTCATCTTTTGAGATCTTTTGCTCATTTTTAAGTGGGTTATTTATTTTTTTTACTGTTGAGTTTTGAGCTCTTTATTTATTTTGGATACCAGTCCTTTATCAGATAAGTGCTTTGCGAAGGTTTTCTACCAGTGTGTGGCTTGTCTTTTTATTATCTTCAGATTCTACGTTAAAACTAAGAATTTCATTATTATAGCTTAACCACTTATTTAGAAACTGCTACCATTATTGTGCTATGTGTTGCAGGGAGGAAAGGTTATCTTTCATGGTTTCTTTGCAAAAACAAATCTCCCCACATTTAAAAATCATTAATGTGTTTCTTTTCCTTATACTGGAGTTCTAAGCAGTTCACTGTAAGGAGGAAGAGTGAACAATTATCTTGGACTCTTTTTTGTGTTTTGATCAACAAGTGACGTGTGATAGTAGCCATTATCCAAATAATAGCCAGTAGCTCAGTAAATATACATGTGGATCATGCCTTTATAGATATTGAAAATAATAACTATCTTTGACATTTTTTGAAATTTTACTCAATTTTAAAATTGTTCCTAATAATTTTCAAAATTTCTGTTCACCAGTGGGTTTTGTTTCTTGTTTTCATTTTTATTAGTCCTAATTGTAAACAGCTAATTAAATAAACTATATTTTAAGGTCAAATTATGCTATGAAATTTATGAAATTGAGTTTAATGATTTTATACAAAAATTGATTTTCCCCCAAAATTTTTTGAAATACACACATATTAGTAGTCAACTTGGGTTATAGAACATGAGTATTTTGTTTGGAAAAGAGATCATGAGAGCCATTATTTATATTAGTTAAAAGCTCTTTCTGATTTCTTTTTTCTCAACAAATGATTTGCCCAGGAAACATTACTTATTCTAAAACCAAAATCAAATAGAAAGTCTAGGCCAGTAGTTTTCTATATATTTGTATACGAGGAAGTCCAACGTTTGTAAGATAAGTGTAGCGCCACCCTGGTTGGAGGCCAGGTAGATGGATGGAGGTGGAGGAGACTGGAGCATGCTTTCTCCTGTCTTTCCCCAGATATCTCTGAGGAATCCATAGGACTGTATGGAGAAGAACTGGAAAATTAGTCTAAGTTATGATTTTTCTTAAAGCAATAACAAAACCACATAGTCATTACTGAGCTATTTATCATGGAGTTCTAGGTGTCTAATTTATAAGGTTTTTGAATTAGACTTCAGGGCCTATGTTACATTTTATTACAGTCTACAGCATAAGTGTAGACTGGCAAGAATTAAACTAAAAGCCTGTTTCACAGCTGTTATGCATCTGGGAGTTTGGTTAAAAGGGGCTAGCTTAGCTTAGCCTGAGTTGTGATAAAAAGCAGGGTTAGAGGCCTTTTAACTCAAGTCCTGGGCTCTGATCAGAGCTCTATTTAATACTAGCCCGTAAGTCCACATAATTATAATTTGTAAGAGTCTTTAGGACATCAGTAACTTTTAAATCTCACCATATGAAAAATGATTATGTCACCTGTGGACTTTTAAAGTAGTCAGCAAACTGGGATAAGGGCGATAAACCAAATATTTCTGAAACTTTCTCCATCCAAGTTTTGTACTTACGATGTTCCAGCTATTCTTTGTAATATATTATCCTTTTAATATGCTTTAATGAGGAATGTTAATTCTGATGAATGAACGCTTCATGTCGGAGTTGTTGCACCACTGGGAAAGGAAGGTTCGTTTTTCTAATGTAACCTTACATTCTGGCTTGCTCCCAGGCTTGCAGATGGGTCAGGGGCTGTGGAGAGTGGCCAGAAACCAGCAGCTACAGCAGGAAGGCTATAGCGAACAAGGCTACCTCAGCAGAGAGCAGAGCAGGAGGATGGCTGCCAGTAACATTGCTAACACCAGTCATCGTAAACAAGTCCAAGGAGGCATTGACATATATCATCTATTGAAGGCAAGGAAATCTAAAGAACAAGAAGGATTCATTAATTTGGAAATGTTGCCTCCCGAACTAAGCTTCACCATCTTGTCCTACTTGAATGCAACTGACCTCTGCTTAGCTTCATGCGTTTGGCAGGACCTCGCTAACGATGAACTTCTCTGGCAAGGGTAAGTTCAACCCACCATGTTTGAGTCAGTATCTCTACACGTAGTCACTTAAGTGTTCTTTTTATAATAGATATATGTATTATGAAATATTTCTTTTTACCCTGGGCTTGTATTTTGAGTTGCTCTTTATTAAAACCTGGAAAGATAAAGATACAATTATCAATATGTTAAACTTGATATTGGGAAAAGAAGGGCAGTATAAAAGAAATAATGGCTTTGTAGTTAGAAGAGAGGTTACCAATTGAGATTTGTCTGTTTACTATTAATCAGAAATTGTCAGTTTATTCTAAAAATACAAGTTGTTAAGTGAGAATTTAGAAAATAAAACTTAGATTGTTCACACCCGAGGTGTAGTTTGTGCTATGAAAAATAAGCGTTCTTAAAAGCAATAAATATTTCTCAAATCTTATTTCTCAGTTGGAGTATAGGAGTGTTTGTTCACTTATTTGATATATTTCTTTTTATCAGAAGTGTTTGTTAGCATAAACTTTAACTGGTGAATAGTTCATCTGCTCTTTTTTTTTTCCTAACCATTTCATCAACGATGTAAGTAAATGTTAGAAAGCAAGGAAATAATCTACTTGTTGAACCGAATGCAGGTTATAGAAGTTTTAGCAGCTATTATTATACCAGCTTAAATTTAAGCTATAAATCTAAAAACGTTTGGTGGAATAGAATCTATTTTATGGATCATAAATTAATCCTTAAATAGTGTCAAATACTTGAGTTGTGAAAATGTTACCAAACATAGTAGAATTTTTGGTTTTCTAGCATTCTTTACCAAAGTTTATCTCATTATTTTAAAAAGGAACTTCATAATGATATAAAATATACCTAAAATCAAGTCTTTTTGAGACTTTAAATAATTTTTAAATGAAAATCTGTTTGAGAGAATTAGTAAATTATCTAAATAGCCAGTCTTTAGTGAAAATGTATTACCATCAATACATTCCTCACTCAGGCTTCTTGATGTTACAGTTTTTATTATAAAGTTCATTTCTCAACCTCTAAATAGATAAAAATCATCAGTATCATCTTGTCGATCTCATCATCTTGTCATAGTGAAGGTATTATGGCAGTGAGAGGAAATTCTATTAGTAATGCTTAAAATAGTTAATAATTTTTTAATAATTTAATATAAGAGGAAATGAAAATACTTTAACTGGCTCATTTTATTTATAATCTCTTTTCTAATTTTAGTATTCCCAACAAACTTATATTCTTATATTTGAACTTTTAAAAAAAAGTTTATATCTGAGCTCATCTCAATGAACTCAACCAGAGTTCATTGGGATTTAAATGTGGATTGTTCATTTCTGAAAGAAATGCTTCCTTTTTGTTTACCACATAATTATACCTATTGTTATGACACTTTGCTTTTTTTCTTAGTGATAAGGTGCTTCTATTTTAAATTAAAGACTGGCTTAGTTTTTATTTTAACTTTGGATGTGTTGAATACTTACTAATGTTGGGAGGTTCTGTTGCTTAGTAATAAAAGGCAAAAACTACGGGACTAGGTTAAAGAGGCTACTAAAATATTGATAATTTTCTAAACAAGTTACTAAATTTACTGTTTTTTTTTAATTTTTCAATTTTTCAAATACAATCGACATTCAATATCATATTAGTTTCAGGTGTACAGCATAGTGTTAGACATTTATATAACTTAAAATCATCCCCCAGATAGTACCCACCCGACAACATACATAGTTATTACAGTATTATTGTAATATGTTCTTTATGCTGTACTGAACGGTTTTAGAATCGATATTTCATTTGGTAATTATAATACAAGGATATAATTACCTATTAAGAAGATATTCTCAAATTAAATACTTTATCCACTATCATCACAATTTTTTATGTTATAAGCTGAGACAGTAACTTTTTCTTTTTTTCCTATGTATAGTATGTGTGAAAAGAAGGAAGTTTGAGCCAAAAATCAATAATGAATATTAGAAAGTGAAACTGCTTTCATGTTTATCTCTATAAGTAGATATTTTATGTTTATGTTTCTGGAGTGATACATTTATATTTTATGGTCTGTGGTATATATCCAGAATTTCTAGGCATTGTAATAAGATAAAACATTAGCTTTCAAATAATAACCAGTAGCTAATGGCTCTGTACAGAATTGGAAATAACTATTCCTGTCTGCAGAAATAATGTATTTTGAGATATGAACTGTTAGCATTTTAGGTTTCTTAGAATTTTTAAACAATCATGTATCACTGTGATAGTAAAGAGCCAATGCTTTGAACAGTACTTAGAAACTGCTATGCTTAATGTCACAGCTTTTGATGTATGTATTGAGTTATACATTACAAACAATTTCTGTGTTTAGTTTGCCTGTTGTTAATATATACAGTTAAAAAAAAAAGTTGTCCCCTTGCCCAGCAATCTTTGCCCCCCCATTCAGTTTTATGTCACAATAGAGCACATAGTTTCCTTAATCTTTGGTTTAGCTTCTCAGTTAAGATTGCAAGCTCTAGAGTTAGACTCCTTGGGTTCAAATCCTGCCTCTACACAAATTTGCTGCGCAACCTCGGGCAGCTTTTTTATCATGTCTGTGTTTGTTGACTTGAAGCACCAACATCATAGGATTGCTGTAAAGATTAAGCGAGTTAATGCTGTTTCAATGCTGCAGATAGTATCTGGCATTTAGTAAGCACCCAGTAAATGTTAGCTATCATCATCATTATTATCAGTTTATATTTAATTTCAGATAGTACTCACAAATATTATTAATCTTTGTAACTCACATTTATTAAGTGCTGGCAAAATTGCTAAATTGAAGGCATTTGTCATACTCTAGTTCTAAACAAATTAAAAAATATAAAATTAAACATTTTAAACTTTAGAGCTATAGAATCTAATTTTATATCATTTCATGTTATTATTTTATTGTATATTCACGTTTAATTTGGGAAATGGTAATGTTTTCTTGTCGGATTTTATCTTGTTTTTCTAGGTTGTGTAAATCCACTTGGGGTCACTGTTCCATATACAATAAGAACCCACCTATAGGGTTTTCTTTTAGAAAATTGTATATGCAGCTGGATGAAGGCAGCCTCACCTTTAATGCTAACCCAGATGAGGTAAGTGAAGAACTTGAATATTTTTAACAGTTGAACTTTAATACTATCTTGCTGCAGCTTTCCAATATATGAAACTCGCAAGTAAAATAACAAGTCACTAAATATGCCTATTCAATCACTGCAAAGCTCAGTATTTGAATTATTGCTATATGACAGTTATTCCCTTTTACTTTGTCATGTCATGTCCTGATCTTTCTACCTGCTTACTTTGTATGGCAGCTTACATGACACATGCGCAGTCCTCTGCTGGACCTGATGGAGATATTACTACTTTATAAGAGCATTACCTATGTTCATCAAATTTTATCTGCAGCATTTTCTTCCCTTATTATTGTTTATATTTAGTAGTGATGTTTATCAGATAATTATTGCAAAAGACATTGTTCTTGTTTGCAACACATCAGAACGTAGCCTTCAAATAATGCCTTTAATAATCTAGTTCCATGTTGACATAGAAACTGCTTATAGATTCTGTTATAAATTAAATAATTTTCTATTCATTATTTAATTCTCTTTATTAAAGACAATAAACAGACACAAACAGAAAAAAGAGAGAGTAGGAGAAGAAAGAATAACTGCTATAATTAATTTGTTAATTTTTTCTTAATATATATGAATGATCAAAATGTGAAGACAGTTATTTCCACTGTTCTCATTTTAATATATCTTGGAAAGGTTCAGATTTTCAAGTAGATGTTAAATATCTACTAGGTTTATTCTTAGAAATCTAGCGAAAATTCTACATCAAAACTACTACTTCTGGGTGTATTATTTTCTGTGGAAAAATTTAACTGGCAGTTATTTTAATTTACATAATTTTCAAAACCCAATTCTTTTTTCCATTTGTTGCGGAGGTGTTAAGGACTATTTAAATCATGCAGTAAAATATTTTTTAAAATATCTTAACTTTTGCTATGTTATAATTGGAGAAATGTTTCTCCCATATAAAATATTTGAATATTAAACAGAAATACTGATTTTAAAAATATGCACATAATAATACAAGTGATATCATATTTTTAAAGTTAAATTCATTTTTCCTCGTTATACATGATTTCTTTCTTTGTTAATTTTTTTTTTTGTACATGAATGAAAAATAAAATAGTCTCCTGCAAATGTTTACTGATAACATACAAATTATCAGTTAAGTCTTAGCCCCACAAATAAAACAAAGTATATATATTTTAAAGCCTGGTATAAATATTTAAATTAAGATATTTGTTCTCTCCTATCCCTACTGTTTAAAGAGTTTTTACTTTCAATGAATAAAAGACTGATATTTTCAGTAAAAGTAGAATGATTTATAATGTTAAATTTCACATTATATATTTGAAACATATGATTCTGATTTTTTTAGAAATTAATAACTTTAGAAGGCAAATGAATGGGTAAACTATTATTAATTTAGGTTTTGTAACTTGTTACTTTATTGCAAATTTTTCCAGATGCCTTTATCATAAAATATAGTTGTTTTTACTTTATTTTTTATCAAATCTGAGTTCTTTTCTAAATATATAGCAACTGTAAGCATGTCACCTTTTAGAGCTTGCACTATGGCATGTCTACCCTGTACAAGAGATTCAGCTACACTTATCTGTTTGAAGAATGGCATGGTTACAGAGACTTTATTGTTCTTGTTTATTAGAATTAGACATTACTTGTTGCTAATAAGTTCATAGGACAGACTTTATAATAAGATATATATTTTGCATCCATCTGTTGAGTTAATTGAATGATGATTACCAGAGAAGAACCGAAGCAGAATAATACAGTGTTTTACTCAAGAGCATAAGAATCAGGAAAAGCAGCTCTTACAAACCCCCATCTTATTATGTTTAGCTTATCAAGGCATACTGGCTCCTGTCATGAATTATACTGATGTTGAGTAAACTGTCATCTTCAATTCATATCACTTGCAAATGTTACATTCTAAGGAAAATTTAACTTGGTAAGTACTGAGTTGTAGATTTACCAAGTCAGAAAAGTTGGATATAACTGCTGAGATTGATTATGGTAAGTGGTCATTTCTTGCTAAAGGAGTACCAATTATTTAAACAAATTATAAAACCATTCATTTTATGCAAAGATGAAAATACAGATAAGCCCTCATATACTAGAATATGATATGGCTAGTTTGAAATGTCTAAATTAGAAAAGCTGGATGTGAAAATATGTTTCTATCTTTGCATCTACATATGTCAGACTATAGGATTCTTGTTATACCTCCTCTAGAATATTTGGAGAGGGGGCAGAGAAAAGAGGTAAAATTAAAGTCCTCTTTTTATCTAGAAAAATTTAAAAAAATTTTTAAGTCAAATGTTTGCTAAGCTAGGGGATTAAAGTTATTAAAATAAGATTTTTAGATCTTCAGAATTACATATCCATCCTACCTCCCATTGTTATTGAGAGTTGGCTGTATTTTCTTTTTCTTCACTTGCTGGCCTGATTTAAAGATATCCTGGAGCTTCCCAAAAGTATTGAATTCACTCTTCTGAAAGGGGCACATGGTGCTGCCAAGAGGCATAGAGCTGAACCATTCACAGAATTCTGACTCTGTGCTTTTATGAACATCGCTAACTTAGCAGGTGTCGCCTAACAGCGGGATAAAATACTGCCTTTACCGAATGCACTTAGGATATACTTAGGATATTGAAATACATTTATAGATGCAGAGAAATGAGGGGAAATACTTTAATAACTATATTCTATACTTTCTTTCACTGACTAATATAAATAATCAATGTCAACTTGGTTGTTTATCCAAGTTAAGCCTTCAAAGTTGAAAATGTGTAATTTAAAGAGATAGCCTAATAGATGTTTTTATGTAGAACTTCTCTATATGGGTCATACTTTAGCCATAGACTGACTCTTGCCACGGTTTTTGAGTGCTAGAAATCAGTAAGTACTTTTTGGGGATTGATTTGGTTTTTTTCTCCTCACTGGAGCACTGTCATCAGATGTGTTATTTTGGGTTAACTTAAGCCTGAGAAGTAAATTAGTTTTGATGACATGTTTAACTATAAGTGGTGTTTATTCTAAGTACCTGAGATGTATATAATTGTTCAGTATTGTAAAAAGTCTACTTTTCCATAATTTCTAGTTCTGTACTTAACATTTTGATAGCAAGCATCATTAAAATATTATAAAAATAAGAATACTTACAGCCACAGGGAACAAGATTCTCCAAAGGACATCGTTCATGTCACGGATATGGGTAACCAAACTTCACAGCAACTGCTGGCAGTGGCTCATGGGGTGGGGGAGAACATCTGCACAGTTTGTGGTACGATTATCTAGCACGCTGTTGTTATATGCATGACATTGTGATTTCAGCTGTATGTAAAGTCTTGATCTTGTGCATGAGCTTGTGTACTTTGTGGCAGGTGACCACATTCTAGTAAAGGAATGTGCTAAAAACCATCCGTTTACATTAGGCTGTATTTCCCCTGCATGTACGAGTTACGTGTGTTGATTTCATTCCAGTAGCAGTATTATAATAAAGTAATTTTACTTATCCAGTAAACTATATTCTTTGTGCTCCATTTAGTATTAAAAATTTTCTTGACATAGTTATTTTTAAATTTAGTCTGGAAAATTGATAGCGAACATGGTTTAACTTTATTATAGGTTTATTTTTGTGTAAATATATAATAAGTTTTTAAAAATAATCTTGAGGTCAGGTAAAATAAGTCTTTATTTTTAACTTCATCAGCACATTTTTCCTTTGTTCATACAAAAAGACCCACATGCATACAATTTTGTGTATTTTGTTAGGTTGATCTGGGATAGATTCTATTATGATAAATAATTTAAATTTGACCTGTGTACATGTTTTAGGTGAAAATGCATAAAGCAAATTATTTTCTAGATAACGTATTATTTTGTTGTTAGACCAGTTAAAATATAAACAGGAAAATTGTAGTTCTCCATTATAGAAAGGAACTCGGGAGTTTATACTCAATTCTTATGAATAATATCTCAGATATTAAAGCTTACTGACTTTTTGCTCTAACATATAGCAGCAAAATGTTCATTACCATTACTTCATAGCATAGCAACATTGATGAAAAGTAACTTTTATTTTTATTGCTAGAGATAGAAAACTCTGGTATCATCAGAATTTACAGATAAGCATTTCCCAAATGTTTTCTTTGAAATAATTATTCCATAGTATAATGAACATAGTCAAAGCAGTTCCCAAGTCTAATAAATTTGATCACAATAGATATGATTAGTTGGCTTATTTACAGAAGAACTTTTTAAACCCTTTAATACATTGATGCACATTGTGAGTATCTAAGAGGGTGTTGTTGCAGGATATTTCAAGTTTATATCACATAGTGTCTTTTTTTGGGGGGGGGGTGGAGTTTAAAATAATAGTCCAGGAAACATATTCTCAAGTGTGCTATTACAGATTATCTGTAATCTTACTATGTGTAAATAATATGTGTTCCTAAATGGAAAGACACCTAGATTGAATGATTGAAATATCATGTAGTTCAATGACAGACAGCTATCTGAAGTTTATTTTGTCTGTAGTCTTATTTCTTATTGAAAGTCTATGGATCTATAATTATGTGTTCTTTTTCCTTTGGTCTGACAGTTTTTTGTTTTTGTTTTTGTAATTAATACTGATAGTTGAGTTTTGACAAACTGAGAGGTTTATTTGTGGTCTATATTTTGATTGTCATCTAAAATGTTAAGGAAAGTGTTATTAGTTTGGAAAATAAGGGTAGAACAACAAATCTGATGGCAATATTGAATTCAAATAACTGCCTATAGATGTCAGTATACATATCAATGTCAACTAATTTGGAACAGACTAGTCATCATCATGTCCGTGGTATTTCATTCCCTACATGAACTTTATTAAATCTTAGCATCTCCTGCAACTCAGGGATTTTTCCAGTGAAGGTTGACAGGCCACCAAAATAGTTTTTAGTTTGGCAGATGTACTGCCTTTCAAGGTTTTATCCTTAGTTCTCTAGGTCTAGAAATTT